GAGAGAGAGAGAAGAGAGAGAGAGAGAGAAGAGAGAGAGAGAGAAAGAGCGAGAGAGAGAGAGAGAGAGAGAGAGAGGGAGAGAGAAAGAGCGAGAGAGAGAGAGAGAGAGAGAGAGAGAGAGAGAGAGAGAGAGAGAGAAAGAGAGAGAGACAGAGCGAGAGAGAGAGAAACAGCGAGAGAGAGAGAGAGAGAGAGAGAGAGAGAGAGAGAGAGAGAGAGAGAGAGAGAGAGAGAGAGAGAGAGAGAGAGCGTCTGTCAGTCTGGTCATCGGCCCATGAGGAGTCTGTGTATCCCTCGAGCTTGACTGGAGAGGTACCACCAAGAGTGAGGATGTGAGACTTGGTGGCTTGTAGATAGCGGAGGACCCTCTTGGCTGCAGACCAATGCGAGGCAGTGTAGCGTCCGGGGGAGACATACCGAGAGAGGACACTAACCGGGTAAGCCAAGTCTGGTCGAGTGCACATCATGGCATACATGAGTGAACCGACTAGCTCAGGGTACGGGTCCTTGCAGGCGTCAGGAGAAGGAACTGGAGGGGTCGTGAGCTGATGCTGTAGTGGGAGTGGAGTGGAGACAGAGTTACTGGAGTCCATGTTGAACCGCTTTAGAAGGCTGTCGATGTAGGACTCCTGGGAGAGGGTGATCGTGCAAGCCTGGCGGTCACGAGTGATCTCCATCCCCAGGTAGTTCTTGAGGTCACCAAGATCCTTCATGAGAAGGGCGGAGCTGAGAGCAGGCTTGACAGCTGCCATGTCGGCTGGATCTCTGGCGGCTAGAATGAAGTCGTCGACGTAGACGAGGAAGTAGAAGGGCTCGGAGGAGTGACGAACGAAGAGACTGGATTCTGAGGCAGAGGGATGGAAGTCAAGTGCGAGGAGGACTTCCTTCACCTTGTTCTCGGTGAAGTTGAGGGAAGGGTAGTCAGTAATGTCCGGGAAGATGTGAGAGAGAAATTGGCAGACCGCGTGAAGGTCAAACAGCTCCTCATGCCTGTCCTCCAGAAGTGCACGGGGGGGAATACGGATGGAGGGGACATCACCCCCGGCAGGAGGAGGCGGGGTGACCGAACACCGGATGGAGAAGGCGGCTGGTCCCCAGGCGAGAGGCGGAGCCGGTCCCTTGGAACGAGTGCGACTAGAGACCGGAGACGAAGGCGCGGGGAAGGCGGAGCAGGAGGAGGTGCCGCTTCGGAGGATACTGGGGAGGCCGGGTGAGACACGCCGGATGGAGAAGGCCCCGGAGAAGGGGCAGCGGCCGGAGGTGGGGCATCGAAGTCTGCCCAAACAAGCGTCGGGGGAGGTGGAGGAGGCTCGCCCGTGGTCGCAGAGTGGAATGGGCGTGTCTCATCGAAGACGACATCACGGCTGCGAATCAGCTCTCTGGTGATTGGGTTGAGGAATAAGTAGTCTGGGGAGTCGGAGTTGTGCCCCAGGTACATGCAAGTCTGGGTTTTGGGACCAAGCTTGCCACCTTGCTTCCTGCGCGTGTGGGGGCTTAGCAACACATACGCAGTACACCCCCAGACGCGTAGAGAGCGGGCGGAAGGCGTGACCCCAAGCCAGAGAGCGGTAGGTGTGGTGTCGGGCCGGTGGGGATGCGGATAAAGATTGTAGAGGAGTGCCGCATGGAAGAAGGCATATCCCCAGAGTGACCGTGGTGCGTTGGTGTGACTGAGGAGGCAGCGAGCGATCTGAACCAAGGAGTGGTGCTGGCAGCTTGCGCTTGGGAGAGGTCAGCGAGAGGTGCAGGTGAACGCAGCGTGTAGAGCTTGCTACTGTTGAGTGTGAAGCGTGCTAGGAGCTTGTTGGACTTAGGGTCGAAGAGGTCACAGTGATCCGAGTGTGCTGGAAAGATCGTGGTGACGCCTGCCCGTTGGAGCTCGTGTTGGGCCACGAGATTGTGGCGTAGTGTGGGAACACACATGCCGGCGACACTGCCCGAAGGAAAAGCTGGGCACGGAACCGTGGAGGAGCCCTTGGCGTGTGTTGTGAAACTGGAGTCTGCTCCTAGTAGACGGATTGGTGTCTCGTATGGCTTGAAGGAGTGTTCTTCCTTGAGAACCGTGTGAGTGGCCCCACTGTCGAGGGTGAACTCTATTGTGGCTGAGGTGCTTTGTGAGCCGGGACACTGCGAAATTGTCTCATTAATCATGGCAGTGCCAGGGAACAACATGTGGAGGCGCACATCAGTAGTGGGAGCTACAGCACCCTGCACGGATTCCTGCGCTTTGACTTGATTGACCTTGCGAGGAGCACGATTGACCATCCAGCTTGGCGGCTTGGAGGCGGTCCCATTGACGGCATACCAATCGTTGTCCTTTTTCTTGAAGCAGGAGGCAAGGGCGTGGTTGGTAACGCCACACACCTGGCCGGCACGAGGGCCGGGCTTGATGACATAGGGACACGGGGGGAAGCGGTTGTGCTGGAATGGCGCCGAAGTGGCATAGGCTTGAGGCACGGGAGCGCGGATTGCATTGGCCTTGGCTTGAGCGCTGTTGTCCTTTTTGGCGGAAAGAAGCGCGGATGAGACCTTGGCAAATGTGAGGTCTGCAGGAGCAAGGCCCAAGAGCATCTTGCGTGTGACTTCGTATGTCGGAGTGAGGCTGACTAGGAGAGCGGCTGCAGGGGCTTGCTCGGGGAAGACTATTCCCAACTGTTTGAGTTCACCATGAATGGACTGCACCTTGGTGACATAGTCCGCCATGCCTGGCGAGTCCTCGAGCCGCACTTGGAACATGCTGGGGATGAGTATAGCAACTCCCACTGTAGTCTTGTTCAGGAAGCGATCCTCGAGGTAGAGCCAAATGGCGTTGGCAGACGGGTAGTTGTGGTAGGTTTCGACGAGTTCGGGAGGAGTGGTGCCCATGAAGACACTAATGACCGCACCATCGGCCTTCTCCCAATTCTTGTACTTGAGCAGTGCAGCAGCATAAACTGCTTCGGCGGCGGCATTAGCTAGATCGGCGGACCTCTCGGGTTTAGGAGGCTCTTTTCCCTCACCGATGTTGAGAAGGACGTCGGTGAGCTCAAGCCCCTTCACCTCGCGACTGAGGAGGTGCTTGTCGACACCATAGCGCCAAGCCTTGTAGTCGGAGCATGTGCCGTCCGGCTCGAGACGAAGGAGCGGGATCGGGTGGGCGAGTGAAGTGGTTGAATAAGCCATTGTCGGTGTGCAGCGCGGCACTTCTGGAAATTGGTCGACGAGAATTGCTGAAAATCACTCTGACGGCTTTATCGAAATGCCGCTAAGTAGGAAATGGCGTCGGCGGAAATTAGTTAAAACGCCGACTTGAAACTGAATCTGAGCCTATGTCTAACCCCGGACCCACACACCCCCCCACACACCCTCAGGCCCTGTCCCGCAGCTACACAGCTCCGCAACCAGCTCTGCAACCAGCTCCGCAACCAGCTCCGCAACCAGCTCCGCTCCGCTTCAACCTGTGTACCTGCTCTTGCTTGACGCGAGACGTTCGTGGAGGCGATTTCGCGAGGGGAGTTCGCCTATTCTGGCGGGGTCTGAGGGGAAACTCGAGAACGAGTTTTAAGAGATGGTCGAAATTGAGATTCGACCAAGGAGAACCGAGGAGGAAATCGACGACGAGAAGCGTGAACACTTCAGAGATGAAAAATTCAACGAGGTCGAGCGCGAAGGTGGTCGACGATGAGAGGCGCGACTACAGAGTGGAGCACGTCGAAATTCCGACGACTTGAAACGAATGTCGCGACGATGAAGTGCGCGTAGCGCAGGCACGTTCAGATTAGGACCTTGATCCGCGTGTGCGGATAGGTCGCTCTGATACCATATAAGAAATAGAGTTGAAATTATTGATTAGGTAAGGAGCCCAAGGCTCTATAAGTACATGGCAAGGTGAGAGAGAATGGATGAAGGGGGAATTGGAGGGAATCCCCATTGGGATCTCCGGAATCTCCAATTGGGTAATTGGAGATTGTGGGGATCACAATTGGGTGAGGTTGGGATTTGTGAGTACACCCCAACCCACGAGAACATTCACAACCTAAACTAGGATATAAAAGTACAAATACAAAAGTGGTATTTGCTATCTATTTCTAACAGTGACTAGTCCCAGTATCTGCAGTCCACTCTCAGTGAAGATGGGGAGGTGTGCATCCTTGGGATAGACTGCTTTGTCTCCCGCTCCTGCTGCTGGTGTGTGTATGGGAGGGAGACCAGTCTCTTGATTCCCCTTTTCGCCAGGTAGCTGCTGAAGCGGTGTAACTGATATTCCATAGCTCTGTCCGACTGGAAGCGTTTTAGTTTCACGTCGCTCTCTCTCTCGTCCGCAAGATGCCACATGGTGAACGCCAAACGTAGCGAGCTGATGTGTCGATGAATGTGATAACGTAGTTGAGATCGGGTCGGCCTTCATTTGGAAGAAAGTTCAGTCTGTCGCTGTAGACCTTTTCGAGTGGCGGGTAGGCCGGGGCGATGGGGTTATGGTGCGAAGGGAAGGGTTGTTGTGACTCTCTGCCCTGCTACCCAGGTGCCCTATGCTGCCTCGCTCCTGCTGTTCTTCCTCTTTTCTGCATCACTCTTCTAGCCTGCCTCCTCCACCTTCCATGTGCTTCTGTCCTTATTCCTATTGCTCAGGTTCAATCCAGCCCTCTCAACAGAAAAGCTTCCTAGACAGCTACCATACTCACACGAGCATGCCTCCTAGAACCTTTTGTTTTTGTCATCGCTAGCTAGTTCTTGTCAGAGTAGAATCCAACAGTTGAACTAAACACAAAAACATACAAAAAGTGGCTCTTCAGTCACTCGACAAGCCTATATCCCCCCTCCATCTCCTATGTCTCTCTACCTAGCTAAATCGCCAACCCAATGCTGGAGCAGATGGGAGGAAGCCTGTTTTCTCAGCCAATCCATGATCAGCATCCATCCTGCCATCAACCTGCTTATCCAGCTGGCCACCTGCACACACACACGCATGCACACAAAAGCGGCATGAACAAAGTAACCAACCCCCAGCCATCATCCCAGGTTCGGCCGATCTCCGGCCTTCCCCCAACCTCCGCCATCCTCCGCCTGGTGGCTCCAAACCCACGAGCTGCTGCTGCAAGCTAGCTCCACCTCTCTCCATGCTAACCCCGATAGCGGCTTCCCCACCTGCCCTTCCCAAAGTTCCAGCCCATTACAGTTCCCCCTTCGCCCTCACTATATATTTACAAGCATGTACATTATGTAAAATAATGCATCTTCTGCCAGCATTTCTCTGCGGACACCATCCGCCTAGAAATTATGACAGCTGTCGTATCTCTCTGTCCTGCTCCCTTGGTGCCC